CCCCAGAGCCCCCCATTGTGGGGAGATGGGTGGGGACAAGTCCACTAAATAAATAAATAAAATAAATAAAAAACCTACCTAATTAGCATGAACAGAACAAATTACAAAATTAAACCAACTTCAAATCATGGTTTAAGATGCTGGCTCATTCTAATCTTAATAATTATAGTTGGTGGGTTTTTTCCTAGTTTGGATGTTATACATTTGATAGTTAATTAAACAAAGAAATGTTGAACCCCAAAGTGCCAGGAAGCAAGCAAGGAAAGAACAGAAGGACAAAATATGTACGCCTATGGCGTGCACACATCTAAGCTTATTAAGATGAAATAGACCATGTCCAATTTGCACTGATGTTTGAAGATGCTTCTTCCCTCGTTCTATGACCAATATGCTTTATGAAACCATGCATTTCTAAAACATTTTCCCGAGAGAAGTAAAGGTTGTGGAAAAGTTCCCATTTCAACAATGTTTCTGTGGAAATATCTCACTTCACATTACTGAGATAAAGCAGCAGACACTAGCAGAAGACTGCATAAGGGGTTCTTGTTGTTCAGTTAAGTCATGTCCAACTCTTTGTGACCCCATGAACCATATTGCGCCAGGCCTTCCTGTCCTTCACTGCCTCCCTGAGTTAGTTCTCAGCTTCATGCTCATTGCTTCAGTGATGCTATCTAACCATCTCATCCTCTGCTCTCCCTTCTCCTTTTGCCTTCAATCTTTCCCAGCATCAGGATTTTCCAAAGAATATACTTCATGTCTTGAACTGAACAAACTAATTAACATAAGCTACAGGTCTCCTGTTTTCTGTAATATTCAAAGCCATCTTACAGTTTGGAGAAATGTTCATCTGGATTTGAACAGTGTCTCATAACCAGTATCTGAGGAGTAAAACATATGACTTGCTACGAGATCATTAGAAGGCAAGGTAATAGTAACAGTAACACCAGAATTAATTCATTTTATATCAACCTAAGTACTTGTATTTCTTCCTTATCTTTCATAAGATAACTAAAGTTTCAGTTGGAACTTTTGTCTCAGTATATCTTCTCACTTCCTTTTAACTAAGGATTTGGGAGAAATTTAGCTTTTTTCAGATAAAACATACATACATACATACATACATACATACATGTATTTCAATAGCCTTTTTCCATTTCTGCCATGCTTTCTACATTAGCTTGAAGCTATCAGGATTATATTTATTTAACAATTATATTTCTGTATCACCAGTAATCAGAGCTCTCTGGGTAATTCACAAACCCTTTAGAGAGAATCATCAATGTTTGGGAATGTTATTTCTATTTTTACCCAAAATATAAACCCACTTACATTCATTAAGTGAAAAAACTGGTACACATACTGATTAGTTCAAAATATATTTCAGTTAGGAAATATGTTATTTGTTTTCTAGACTCACTAGTTCTGGAGAAGCAAGAATAGAAGTATCATTGATTGGGAGATAGCTCTGGAAGCGTTGCCACTTATTATTATTGTTATTGCTGCTATTATTATCAGTGATACAGAAACTTCAGGGTATAGGTAGAAGAGAGAAAAGATGTAAGAAGGTAGCAACATATTTATAATATTTTCTTAAAATCACTAAGCCATAGTTCTAGTTTTACCAAACCATTAAGAACTTCATTCTATTCAACAGTATTTCATGATAGTGAACTCTATGGAGCCACTGTTCATAGAAATTAGATTGCTAGAGCCATATCATATATAATAGAGTATAACCAAGATTATTTCTTCATTTCCCTTTTGAGAGGACAACTCTACCTGGATCTAACTGTAATTACTAAGGAAGTATAGAATTTTCACCAACAGAAGGGAGCAGAGAACCTTCAGTAAACCAACAATTTCTGCTTGAATGAATATACCCTATTATGACATCAACTGTTCTAGGCATCCCTAGCTAGTGGATCACTGCTTACATAAAAACAGTATAACTCATACATTACATCACAATTCCAGGTAAAAAGGTATATTTCCTTAAAAACTTCAGTTAGGAGGGACAAAGTAAATAAAAAACAGATTGGTCTTGTTAGGGAACTCTTTAGGAGTAAGTTTATAAGTTGTTATAACTCATTGTATTTTATTTCTTTTTTCTTTTCTTTTGTTTTTAATTTTATTAAAGTTTACAAATACAAAGGTAAAAGACTAATATAAACTAAGAGAAATATAAAAACTGAAGAAAAGAAAAAAGTGCAAAGAGAAAGAAAAAAGAAAAGCAAAAATAAGAAAAAGAGAAATATATATATATATATAAAAACATAACTCCCCCTTCCTTCAGACAAGTATAAAAAACTTCAATAACATAACACCTTCTCTAGTATTTCAGTAATATAAAAAAATTCTTCCCATATCTTCCTATATTGTTTATCAATAAACAAATTGTAAAAACTCATCATTCAGTCCTATTCAGCAAAAGTCCATTAAGAGCTACCAGAAATTATATATATATATATATATATTAACCTTAATCAAATAAATCTATTTTGTATTCCAACTTATCACTTTCTCTGAGGAATAAAGCAAAAGAAATCTCTCCCCATTTATAAACAAATCTTTAAAGCCTCATCAATTTAGTCCTGGTCACACACACACACACAAAAACCCTCCAGTAATAGCTATCAGTAACCACAACATATATTTTCATCCTGATCAAATAAGTCCTTCCATTTACTTTTAAAAAGCTTGGTCTTTAATCCCATCATATTATATCCAAAAAGTTGATTTCTTATCATTTTCTCTTTGTCTCCTCTCAAAAACCATTTCAATAGTTTAACACATCCCTTTTGAAAATCCAAGATAAGAAGGCTATCCAAGTCACTCTTCTGATTTATTATTCATATGTCCCCTTTAGTCATTAAAACTTCAGCCAATTTCATTTTTAAATCCACTGTGGTATCTTTTTCCATATCATTCTTATAATCTATCATTTTTAAATCTGGAGAAGCAATGATGGATTGAAGACAGCTCCACGAGAAAAGAGGAGCCAGTGAATGGATCAGCTCCTTGGAACCCCTCTCTGGATCAAGGAAAGAACTAGGATCACCCACAAATTTGCTCCATACAGAGGCTCGCCCACAAAGAGATCGCAAAATAGGAATCTCCAGTGGGTTTGAGAACTCTGGGAGCTGGGGGAAAATAATTCTGCCCAAGCCATGGTTCAGCACCTTCAAACAGACATTGGGTTTGCCCACTTCAAGAGAGGAACTATCTCTTTCCTAACTACCTTAGGAAATTGCTTGTTATTGATATTCTTTTGGATGTTAAGAACCTTCTGAAGGGCAAATTTCATCATACCGGGAGAGCTTCCTTCTATCCTGTATGAAAGAAGTTTCATTTAAATTTAAGGATTAAAAAGAAACATTTTAATTTTTGGAAAACAGCAAAACAAGGACTAGAATGTTGAAAGTTAAGGGCCCAGAAAAACTTGAAAGAATATTTCCTGTGGGTTATTTAAACGTGTGTAAAAATATTTCATAAAAGTATATATGAAGATTTTGAAATTAACTGTAAGGAATCTTCCCGTGAGAAATTTTTGCTGATTGAAAAATAAACATATCATAAGAGGGGACTTAGAAGTTTGACTAGAGGGAACCAAAGAGAACTAAGGATTACAATAAAAGGAGAAGA